TACACCACTCATCATACACCACTCATCATACACCACTCATCATACACGACTGATCACACACCACTCATCATACACCAGTCTTCATACACCGCTCATACACCAGCTCTGGTGTCAACAGCTCAAGCTCCAGGCAACTCCACGTGCAGATTTCGTGGCAGGCGCAGCACTTTGTGAACCTCCGTGTGCAGATTTCGTGGCAGGCGCAGCACTTTGTGAACCTCCATGTGCAGATTTCGTGGCAGGTGCAGCACTTTGTGAACCTCCACGTGCAGATTTCGTGGCAGGCACAGCACTTTGTGCACCTCCATGTGCAGATTTCGTGGCAGGCGCAATACAAAATGCGTTGCGGAGAGATAGCGAAGGCACGAAATGCTGTATTTTTCAATGGAACCGGTGGCTCCGAAGCTGGCAAGTCAAGGTCTGCGGAACGACGGTTGCGAGACGGTCTCGGGTCATGCTCGGATCATGCTCGGATCCTGCTCGGAATCGTCCGTCCATTGGGATTAGAGGTTTCACTTGTTTCTTGAAGTGAAGATTTCGTGGCAGGTGCAGCACTTTGTGAACCTCCATGTGCAGATTTCGTGGCAGGTGCAGCACTTTGTGTACCTCCATGTGCAGATTTCGTGGCAGGCACAGCACTTTGGGAACCTCCATGTGCAGATTTCGTGGCAGGTGCAGCATTTTGTGAACCTCCCTGTGCAGATTTCGTGGCAGGCACAGCACTTTGTGCACCTCCATGTGCAGATTTCGTGGCAGGTGCAGCACTTTGTGAACCTCCACGTGCAGATTTCCTGGCAGGTACAGCACTTTGTGAACCTCCATGTGCAGATTTCGTGGCAGCCGCAGCACTTTGTGAACCTCCATGTGCAGATTTCGTGGCAGGCACAGCACTTTGTGCACCTCCATGTGTAGATTTCTTCGCAGGCACAGCACTTTGTGAACCTCCATGTGCAGATTTCGTGGCAGGCACAGCATCCGGGGAGCTGGAAGCTGAGAACTGGCAACTTTGTAGTACAACTTTAGTACGCGGAGTATGTGGCGAGCTGGACGATGAGAACTGGCGACTTTGTAGTACAACTTTAG